ACAAAGAATTAAGATCCCAGAGGTTTTGATCGGTTTGATGATTAACTTATTTACGAATAGTAAAAAAAGTGTTATAAAAGAAAAAGGAATAATGAAACAATATACGACTATCATAGGAATAGATCAAGGTGAGGTTATTTCACCACTACTATGGACAATTTATTACGATCCATTGCTTGCAGAAATTAATTCATTAAAAATGGGATATGAAATTGAGCATTGCTTTAAAAGTAATGTACAATCTGAGCAAGAAGAAAAACTCAGGATCAATATATCATCACAGTCATACATGGATAACGTCACGTGGATTACTAAAAATAAAGCTCAGTTAGAGTAGATCTTGAAAATTGCAGATGAATTCAATATTATAAATAATATACAAACAAATTATGATAAGTTTGAAATGATAACGAATAAAAAGTTAGACAAAGATATTGTTGAAGTTAATTTCAGATCATCAAAAAGAATGGTTAAACCATTAACATCAAAAGAATCTGTAAGAATTTTAGGTGTCTGGATTAATTTAGATTTAAGAACTAATTATGTCTTTAATCAGTGCAAGAATATTATTAAAAGATATAATAAAACAATTAGCTTCAAACAAATAACAGATTTGCAGATGAAATATATATATAATCACGTGATCATTCCTCGTGTTGACTATAAAGTACAATTGTTAGTTTGGACAAATTCTCAAACAGAAAAATTAAATTCTACCTGTAGATATATGTTTAAAAGAAAAGCGTCATTGCCACTTACTACTCCTAATAGTATTATACATTCATCATTGGGCTACGCTATTAAAGATATTAATACGATTCAAGCTCAAAGACAGTTAAGTAGGTTATATAATCAAGTGATATCAAAGGGTGTGATGAAAGATATTTTTGAAATAGATTGTAAACAATTGCAAAGTGAATTATTGTCTAATAAATCTCCATTACACAGGTTGAAAAGTAAAAAATCAGGCATCAATCAGTCACCAATCGGTCACCAATCAGCTACCTGATTGGTGACCGATTGGTGACTGATTGATGCCTGATTTTTCACTTTTTGACCTGTGTTAGCAACATAAAATATCAGTCTGAAAGACTTACAAGTAAGACACTGTTTGTTAGCTCGTATTTTAGCACTCTTATACAACAACATGTTAACCATAAAATCAAGTGATGTGAAAGTTAATCAGATTCAAGGGGGATTATTACCAATAGTAGAAATATATACACATAAAGAAATATTTACAAATGGAATTAGTAAGGGATTGAAAGGGAAAAATGTTTATTTCGCTAGTCAGTTAATGTCGTCAAATGGTATACGTCTTCTGAGATATAAAGATTTGAAACACAGAATTAAGATAAATACACAGGGTAGAATCCCTAGTTGGTTCAAGTTTATAGAAACTAAACTTATTGAAGATCCTTTAAAATCTAAGAAAGTGAAAACTGATTTTCAATTAGGATATAATATACATAGTGTAAACACAAAAATTGATAATTTAAAAACAAAAAATTGGATAACAACCTTTCATGATCAAATAGGTAAACCTATAATAGGGCGTGTTTTAGATAATCCAAATGAGGACAAAATTCGTATAGAACATTGGATACAAGACCTAGAAAATGATCAAATATCACCATCAGTACAGTTACCAATCCTTAAAAAATGTGAAGGATGTGAAGTGAAAACGAATCAGATCAGGAATAAAAAAAGTAACACTAAAGTAAGATGTATAGCAGATATTAATATAGAAAATTGTGTTAAAGTTAGTGCAAATTCAATACAAAATGATCATTACATAGCAGATATGGCTATTTATGAGGCGTTAACTCAAGCAGAACACTAGTCAAAAACTAATATATCAGGTACATATCTGATACCCGATATATTAGTTTTTGACCAGTGGAATGTAAATACTACAGAAAAATGTCTATGAATGAATGTATTATTGAAAAAGTGAATGGCTTATTCAAATATATACATCCAAGTGATTATCGTAATGGGTTGATAGAAATTGCAAATAGTTTAACGCAAGAAACTGATATAGAGATTTATACAGATGAGTCGATAAAGAATGTAGCGACTAGTGAAATAATGATGGGTTGTGCATTTGTAATTAGCGCTCCTATAAAGAAAAGTTTTAATTGTGGAATTGTAGATAATTCTTCCTCTAATAAGGCTGAATTAATGGCAGTGATATTAAGTTTAATGATCTGTCCTAAAGTTGCAAATGTCGAAATATATAGTGATTCTCAATGGGTAGTTAATACATTTGATGATTTAAACTTTTTGACGATTAAAGATATAGAAAGATAAAAGTTAATTATAAGGTTTTATGGTTATGTTTATTCAAGATAATTAGGATCTATAATCTCAAAGTAAAGATAACTAAAGTTAAAGCGCATAGTGATTGTGATCATAATAAAGAAGCAGATAAGCTCACTAAATCTGGTGCTGAGAAAAATGTATTAATAATAGAGGATAAATTATTATTACACAATGGTACGGTTTGTTGGAGAGATATGCCTATAGAACGTAACCCTATTCTTATGATAAAGGGAATAAAGGACGCTCAATTTATAGAAGAATTCCTAATGCTACACCGTAATAAAGTTTATAGACAATTAGATCTATTAAGGTTGATAGATTGGAAAATATCTTTAAAGTTAAATAACATAAATCAATATGATACATTGTTTGAGGATCATTATTTACAATCATTTAGGATTAAAATTTGTTATCAACTTGTGCTAATTTAAAAAAGCGTAAGCCAGATCTATATGATGAAGATTGGAGATGTAATTTTTGTAAAATAGAAGAAGAAACCTTTGATTATTTTTGGAAATGTAGTAAGATTCAAAATGTTGTGCAAGATATATTCAAACGATTAAAAATTTTTTTAGCTAAAATTATACAGGAGTATTCAAGAGATGATATAAATACACAAGATTTAAAAGGTAAAATTAATGAGCTTGATATGTGAGATATTGGATGCTTATATGATTTTACATTTTTAATGAAGAATCAAGTCAGTTGTCAGTTAATAGAATTATTAAGGTGCTATAAAATAACTGAAGAAAAATTGTTGTATAAGGTACTGAAACAAATAACTGAGAGAGTTTTATTAGAATTCAAAGTGCTTATTTGGGAACTAAGGAACGAGTTACAAATAAAGGAAGAAAAGCGGTGCGGTATTAGAGGTAAAGATAAAAAAGCTAAGTCACATAGTAAACGCACTGAAGTGGGTGTTAAAGATGCTGGCTGTAATATGTTAGAAAGTAATTGGAATAAATGAAATGATTTGGCATTCCATCGAGGTGGTCATTGGGCAAATTTTTAGGTAAATCATTACAGTTACCTTTGAATTTAAGGTCGCATCATGGTTTTTAACAATTATGTGATCGTTTAGGTGATAGGTCAACTTGTTCTTTATGAAAAGTAGTCTTGTTTCATAATGCTTAATTCTTATATGTATTTGTTTATCTTATATTTTGTAAGTTTATATATGTAAGTAAGCATGATTATAATAGGACATGATCGCATCTATAATAAAGTNTACAACGCTTTTAACAATAAAATGAATTCTTTGTTATTGTTCTTAATTTGTTCATTGTAAATTTAAACGAATGTTTTGTATATTATCTCTATTAATAAATATATATATATACTGTAAGTTATATACATCAATAGAGTATTCTAGGATATAAAATTTTATCTTTATGTAAAAAATTTTCTAAATTTAGAAGTTTTAATTTGCATTTAAAAATCCTATATGTAATATATAATTTATTTAATGGTATAAATTATCAAAAAATTTTTAATAATTTTACAAGTTTCAAAGTTAACAAATCTTTCAAAAATAAGGAGAAATAGTAAATATTTCTAAACCATCAATTCCTTTCAAATTATAAATAACATTTTCATAATAAAATTCTAAAAAATACATGAAATGCATGGTTATATTAAATTTATATAGAAAAAGTAATTATATAGATTTTTTTTTTAGGATTTTTTTATAATTATATTAAGTTTTAATACTAAAAAATTCCCTTTATCATTATAAACAAATTAAAAAACTTTTTAAAATATAAACTTTATATAAATTTAATTGTAAATTAATATAGAATATATTTTTTTAAAATTCTTTTTTTTATAGATATTTATCTATATATAATATCAGATTTACATAAATTTACAAGGCCTACAAAGGTTTATATATTATAGTATTTTTGTAATCTTATAAAATGTAATTTTATATAGATTTACATTTTATATAGATTTGCAAAATGTAATTTTTTTTAAAATTTACCAAAAGTATGTTTCCCGCCTAATAAGGTCCTCAAAATTTCTGAATAAAAAAGAGATTAGCTTTACAAGCTATGAATCACTCCCTTGCAAATGCATAGTTACAGCCAAAAAAATATATTTCATTCATACCTTAATTGTGAAGTGTCTCGTCTGGACTTAATAATTTTTTTGTCAACACTTCTTAAACTGTGATAGGTTCATGCTTGGAGAAAATAGCATGACGGCTTGGGGGTCAGAATAAGAAAAAAAAAGTTGTACAGAGAAAATGCCTTAATTACACCAGATTTAATTTAGTTGTCATTATGACATAATTTAAAATTAATTTTATTGGCTACTAATTGTTGTTGTACAACCGAAGAATTAATAAATACCTATCTGAATAATGATAAAATCGTATGAATCACTTTTTTTCGCTTTCTGATAAATATACTTTTTTTTACTATGCTTATCTCATTATACTGTATAAACTTTTTTTTTACTGTGCTTATATCATTATATAAACTTTTTGTGTCACCAATTAATAGTTTATAAAGATCATTTTATAATTAATCATGATGTATCCAAAAAAGTATATAAAGTATATATATACTCAAGTTTCCTCAAAACTTCTTTCTCTAAAAAAATACTTTAACTAAAAATTTATTCTATTGCTTTATAGCAAAATGAAGGTGTCGTTAAATTGTATATTTCTAGGAATGACTGCTTTTTCTGATTCTTTTACGGTTTCCCTTTATGAAAAAAATAATACTGAAAATGGTGAAGTCGTCTTTGATGATCTTAAAATTGGACACATTAAGTTTCTTATCTGTCGTGAAAAAGATATTAAAATTAATAATTATAATGATCTAAACCTTTGGAAGGCTGACTTCGCTTACGGTTATAAGCTTAAAATTCTTACTGAAGAACAAATTTGTAATGATAGCGAATTGTTGGTGCCTATCATTCATTTTAAGGAATATTTTTCAGATCAAGATGCGATTAACAAAAGTCTCATCTTCGTACAAGTGCCCGTCACTAGTAAGTGTCTCCCAAGTCCCAACATTTTACCTTTCGAACAAGGAAATTGCAGTCGAAACAATGATATATATTTCGTCATTTATTAATAATATTGAATATGCTTTCTAACTGTTATTACAACCATTAGAGCTTGAGAGGAAAAGGAAAAATACGGAAGTAGAAAGTAAGAAATGTTCTTGTTTCTATACGTAGCTATATATTTCATTCTATCATTCTTACAAATGTTTCTCTACAGCAACAAGTAGAAAGAGAAAAGAATGGGCGGTTAATAGTACCATTAGGAATGAAATAAGTGGTTCAGTATACTTTGTTGATCCAGCAGAAACGAGTAAACCACTTTTTAACATGATTAAGAAAGGAGAATTTGTAGCTTTATATGGTGCACGGGCTTCCGGGAAGTCTACACGAGTAGATCAAGCTTTGATTGAGTTGGAAAGCGAAGGCTATATTTGCATTTAGTAAGTTCTATCTAGTAAATTGCATTTAGTATAACTATTGCTTACATCTCTTTTTTTCTTTGGAACAGTGTATCTGTTGAAGGAGTAAATATGAGTACCGTGAACACATTCTGGTTGTCAATAGGCGCTAAACTTGTCATTAATGCTCCAAAATATTTTAAATTAAATGAAATCAAATCTGCTGATGAATTCACGTTGCAATTTCGGAAAGAACTTTGGAATGATAAACATGTTGTTCTTTTCATTGACGAGTATGATTCATTACTTGAAGCAAATGATGATATTAGATCCTCATTCCTTGGAGCAATTCGTAACATTAAAAATTCAAAAAGAGACTATGCAATCTGGTCTTTTGTAGCCATCGGTCCCCTAAGTATTTTATTTCTGAAATCAGACAAAATAAATGTTTCTCCATTCAACGTTAAGGAGCCATTTAGGAACCCAAATTTCACTTTGGCACAAGTAGAGTCAATATATAAAGATTATGAAGATGACAACAAATTGACTATTGCTCCAGAGGTCATTAAGGATATTTATGAACGGACAAACGGGTATGTGAAGCTGGTCAGAAGTAATATGAAATCAATACTAAAATTTGTTTTCTGTTATTTGACAGGCATGCTGGCCTCGTCTGCCTTTGTGGCAGAGCTATCCAAAATAATTTAGAAGAAAAACTTGACGAAAGAAGATGTCTTGATTTCACTCTCTGGTTAAGCTTTGTTGCAAGTCCACAACTGGTGGATTGTATGGCTAATTATAGTACATTTAGAAAGATGATTGACAATCTTATTAAGCCTGATGCTAAGAAAGCTATGGACTTTCTCCGATCTGTATTTATAGGATTTTTCGATTTTGTACAAATTAATGATAATGAAGAAAGAAGACTAGCAGATTACTTAACTGTTCAAGGGGTACTCATGAAGGAAAATGAGAACAATCATAGTTACAGAATGTCATCTATTTTTGTTGATGGATTGATTCAGCAAGAGGTTATTCCTGTATTATACAAGTCTTTGCCAACTATTTCAGTTCCTAGAACGAAAGATAACTTTCTGAAGACCCTTGATATTTTAAAGGAAGCAATCCGTTGTTTCGATAAAAACATCATCTCTAATGCTTACAACCGGTCATTTAAAACTGTGCTTGTGCCAGTAGATAGCTGTCGTAATGTTGCAGTCCCTCGAAAGAGTGTTTATGATAACGAACTAAATAGAATCTTGACAAATTGGATCACCAAAGAATGTGATTTTCAAGTCACAGGACAGTGGCATCTAATAGATCACGCTGGTAATGATCAAAAAGACAAGCATTATTATAGTGATATAGTCATTATAACTCCAAAACAAACAGTCGTTCTTGAACTCTTGGCAACACCAACAAAAAATGAACTTGAAGAACATTCTAAAAGAGTTCTCAACTATGCGGAAAAACTATCTGCAAATGAAATTTGGATCGTAAACTTTACATGTGAGGATGATGTGTTGAAGCAACCCTATTGGCCATCCAATAGTAATATTAATATAGTACACTTCTCTCACGACAAGACATTTAATAATATAAGAATGAGTGCCAGATTTTTATCCACCTCTAATACTGTTGATTTTATTGAAGACCAACAGGTTATGCCATAATAACTATATAACAATAAATTCCTCATGCTTATTAGTATTTTATAATTTACATTCATTAATATAGAAACATTCATATAATATTTGCGGTGAGTATCAAGAATTAACTTGCAAATACTATGCAGAAAAATATTTCTGATTCTTCTGTGGCATATAACTACTATTCCATGGAAAATATGTATATACCTTGAAATCTTTATCTTTGGTATTTTCGCTATCATGGTGAAGGTTTTTGTGTTAATGATTAGATAGTGATTGTCGATGGGTAAAATTGCTATAAACAGAAGTTGACACTAGTATAGTTAAAACATGATAGAATAATGTATCATTAATATTACTATTCGTATTGATACTTCTAGTTATATATTATTTGGTAGCAGTTAAACATATCACTTTATTGTTATTAACTAAACTCGTAGCGGTATTATAATTTATTATCTGTTGGTATAATTGTTAAAAAATAAAATTGTATTTATGCTAAATTTGCTAAATTACAAATTCATGCAATATTGCGATATTAACACTTTATTAAAAGACGTGATAAATTATCTGTTTACTTGATGATAAAATATTATTTTTTCCTGATTAGTGATACTCTATTAATAACCAATGATCATCTATTCCAATCATTATTGTAATGAACTTGAATTGTTCTTATTGTATTCTTCTTGTATTTAACCATCGCTACATTATATTCTGTATAATAATAAACGTGATAGATTGCATACATATCACAAAGTTAAAACATAATGCTACGCAGATCCTAGGTCATATAATGCGAGTTCCTGCCTACATTTACGGTAAATTTCTACAGCTATCGCTAATACTAACTACGAGATTCTCACACTTCCATTCATTCAAAAAAATAAACAGAAGTTAGCATATCGAAAATATATTCACATAGTGTAACTGTGAAGAATCTTCACGATCAAAAATCATGTGCACGTGAACAATAGTTCACGCCGATCACTTTTGTAAGAAAAATTTTTTATTATTAAATGCAAAAAATAAATACAAATGTTCAGGACGTAGCCCTGGATACATGACGATTTTTTTCTATGCTAATTCCCTATTATACATGCTTATTTTTTCGAATAATAACCCTCTATCCTAACCCTTTTCCTTTCAGGTTTTTCCTCTGCATATGCTCTGTCCTTTAATAAACCTACTACTATGTCCAACACTCTTTTCACACCATTACGTAACGTTTGATATTCTATAGAGTCTTTATTCAAGGCATCTTCAGAAAATTCGATGCTAAGTGGTAATTTATTGCCTTGCAAAATTTTCTCCAGTGTGTACAGCAGGAAGTGCTAGTTCCAAGCTGTAGTGACAATACCATAGAGGTAATCGAAATCATTGTCATCATCTTGCTTTTATTTTCTCATATTCGTTTGGAATGAGCTCTCCAACTGTTTGATATTTTGAGCAAAATCCTTGATTAGATTTCACTCTGGTTTATTCTCAGTGACGCAAATAAGGTATGGCATTAGTATAACTTCGAGTTAGAGCTCCGCAACCTGACCTGACAGATCGGGTGACCCGACAGGTTGACCCGAAATATTCAGGTCAAGTCATCAATTTCATGACCTGACACGGGTCGGGTCAGTGCTAGTCGGTACCCGACCCGACCCATTGACCCGACATATATTTGGGTCAAATAAATTAAAAACACCGAAACTAATAGTTCTGGCATTTTTACATGTAAAATCAAAAGGAAAAACGCCAGAACTAATGATTCTGGCGTTTTTACATGTAAAATTGAAAAAAAATGCCGAAACTATCAGTTTCGGCATTTTTACATGTAAAATCAATATGAAAAATGCCGGAACTGATGATTCCGGCGTTTTTACATGTAAAATTGAAAAAAAAATGCCGAAACTAATAGTTTCGGCGTTTTTACATGTAAAATCAAAATGAAAAACGCCGGAACTAATAATTCCAGCGTTTTACATGTAAAATTGAAAAAAAAACGCTGGAACTATCAGTTTCAGCGTTTTTACATGTAAAATCAATATGAAAAATGCCGGAACTAATGATTCCGGCATTTTTACATGTAAAATCAAAATGAAAAATGCCAGAACTAATGATTCCGGCGTTTTTACATCTAAGATCGAAACAAAAATGCCGAAACAAATAGTTTTGGCGTTTTTATATATAAAAACAAAAGTAAAATGCTGGGACCCGACATTTTTTCAATAAAAATTAAAAAAAATCTTTTTTTCTAATTAAAAACGTCGAACCTGACATTTTTTGTATAATTAATAAAAAAAAAACGTTACATAACGTTTTTTTAATTGAAATATTTAATAATAAAACTTCGGGTAACCTGAGTTACCCGAAGTGACCCGAATACTTTCGGGTCAAATGGGTCAGGTCGGGTCAGAACGGTTTACCCGACCCGACCTGACCTGAAAAAAAATTTCAGTTCAGGTTAACCAGGTAACCCGACCCGACCCGACCCGTGCAGAGCTCTACTTCAAGTGAAGTAAAAAAAATATACACAAGAAATGATTCCATTACCTTGATTGCGAAATCGACACGTCCAGTACTTTCATCACCAATTACTTCGTATTTAGGTTTCATGCTGAGTTCTTCCCCTGTAGAATCTCTTGTAATATTGATTGCAATGTGAAAAATTGCCACGACATACTCATTACGCATAGCTTCCAAGCTATTCATGACCAAAGATCCATAATTTTTTAGCCTAACTAAAATTTCCATCCCGCAGTGCTCGAAGTGTTTGTTGGAGTCTTGAATTTTGTGGGTTTGTAGAGAAAATAATGGGATGCTGTCCGTACTATTGGAGTCAATATCATATTTTGCTAACACCTCACTCAAACTCTTGTACGAGGAGAACGCACGCTTCAGCTTTTCTTTGAGGGTCTGGACCTCTTTTGCAAGTCTCATGGCAAGGCTACTTTTTAAATCATAACTACAAAATTTTTCTTCAGTCATGTCAAGAAAGTTTTGGCCAGTAATCTTTTCGTTGCAGAGTATTCCCAAGTCATCATCGTCAAGCTTGAGGTTTTGCTCTTTCAAAAAATCGATAAGGGCTTCCGTATCCCAGTTTTCAACCAGGTAAGAGTCGTGTTCAGCTATTGAGGTAGACATAGCGCTTTTTATAGGTAGTTCGGCTTGGATAAAAAATAGTGTTATGTTCTGAAGTGAGATAAAAATTTATTTCTGTTCGGGAAAGAAATTACTGGGCGTTAATATAGGCTTTTATATCACACAGGCATTGCATTATTTCACGTGACATATTTCTCGTATACATCTGATAAAATAATACTTTATTTATGAAATAAAAAATGTTGCTGGAAGGGTCCCAGAAGGACTAAGTGGCCTACAATACATAAAAATTGGCTGTGAAGGTGCTTCGTATAACTATATCGCTACATGATATAAGATAATTATTCTGACCAGAGTATATAGTGATATGGAAGTGCTCTACTTTAGACTTAGCAAAAAATTTGGAAACTATGTCATTCAGATCCATTTGCTTTTCAATAACGTTCCCATGTCGAATTTGACAAATTTTTAGAGGGATTTCATCAAATGGTTTCCCCAATCTCCTTTTAATTTTAGTTTCAATTTTGCTAAATTCACTATATATATAAATTGTAATTGATTGTATTACTTTAGTACATGGAATATTTGAGAATTTTCCTATAGGAACGATAAGTTTCTAAGTCCATTTCGATTCCTAAATACAAGGCACATTATGAAAAAATTTCTTGATCCATTCACATTAAAAAAATTTAATAAAATATGTAAACAAAGTTATAAACATGTTTGTGTAAAAAAAATTTACTATTTTTAATACAAAGAATAAGTTAATTGTATATGTAATACAGGAATCATT